AGAATGTTCAGGAAACATTAATAAAAAGGAAACGGTGATAATAAAAAGACAGCCTGACTTCATCAAAAACAGGTCATCTCAGACTAACCTCATTTCCTTTTTGTCAGGCTTACTAGATAGGTAGAACAGGGAGATGCTACAGATATAGTTTACCTAGATTTTAGCAAAGGATTTGACAAAGTCATATATCACATTAGGTAACAGATTTAGAGCTGTCCACAAAGAAGCCCTCATTTTTACCCATGCAGGGTGCTCCACTGTCAGAGCAGTGGCATTCTCAGACTTTGGGGTGGCACTGAAAGGGACCTTCCAGGTCAAGTCCATTTACAGATTAGGAAAGGCCTGGAAATGTTTAAGTGTCTTATTCAAGATCACACTGGCAGTGAGAGAAAGGACTAGGACTGAAACCCAAGTCCAGGGTTCTTCCTTTCAAGGTATTCTTGTGGGCAACATGTAGAGATGTGGACCAGGAGATAATATAATTATATGAATTCAGAACTGGTTAAATGCACATGCCAAAGAATAGCTATTTATGGTCCAATTTCAACTTGGAAGGACGTCTCTAGGTGAGTGACCCAGGAATTTTGCTCAGCTCTAATCTTTCATCACGGACTTGGATTAAAGGTATAGAAGAAATACTTACCAAATGTACAGGTGACTCAAAGGGTAGTTAACATACTGGGTGATAGAATCAAAATCCAGAGACATTGACCTGTAGGACAATGGGCTAAGCTTAAGAAGAGAGTCATATAGAGATAAATGTAAAAGTTTTGCACTAGGGTTCAAGAAATCAAATTCTCAAGAACAAGATGAAAGAGGCATGGATAGACAGCAGACTGTCTGACAAAGATGTGGGGTTCTAGCGGACTACAAGGTCAGTCAGCAGAATGACAGCCAAAACAGCTAATGATGTCTAAGGCTTCATTGACAGGCATAAGGTTCTAGGGCTTAAGACATCATAATCCCATTATATTGTGATCTGGTCATACCATTTCTGAACTACTGTATTCAGTTCTGGGCACATAGTTCAGGAAGACCATCAGAACGATGGAGGGGCAGCTAGGTGGCACAGAGGATAGAGCACCAGCCTTGGAGTCAGGAGGACCTGAGTTCAAATCTGGCCTCAGACACATAACACTTACTAGCTGTGTGACCCTGGGCAAGTCACTTAACCCCAATTACCTCACACACACACAAAAAAAAAAGATGGAGAACATTTAGAAGGGCAACCAGAATGATGCCAGATGATGATGAGTTGAAGGAATTGGCCTTGAGAAGACTGGGGAAGATGTGATAGTGTCTTCAAGGGTTTGACTAAGAGCTGTCATATGACATGGTCATTAGATTTGCTCTTCTTAGTCCCATAGGGCAGAACCAAGACTAAAAGATAGAAGTTACAGAGAGAGATTTAGAATGTAATGATGTAAGAAAAAACTTCCTAACAATCAGAGCTATCCAAAAGTAGTTCCCTCCTTCAGGAGGGAGCAGATTCTCCCTCTCCAGAAATCTTCTAGCAAAAACCACCTATCAGGAATGTTATAGAATGGGGCAGCTAGGTGGTGCAGTGGATAGGGCTCTGGTCTTGGAGTTACGAGGTCCTGAGTTCAAATTCAGCCTCAGACACTTGATACTTACTTGCTGTGTGACCTTGGGCAAGTCACTTAACCCCAATTGCCTCACCAAAAAGCAAAAAAAAAAAAAAAAAAGGAATGTTGTAGAAGGAAATCTTGGTAAGATACGGTTTGATCTATATGCTCTCAGAAGTCTTTTCAAACAACTCTAAATTGTCTGATTTCCTATAAGGTCATAGTTACCTTCTTGTGTTAAGAGGTCTCATTGACAGCACTACCCATACTCTGTGCACTGGTACTGGTATACAGACATTTAAGGCTATCATATTTTCACTCCTCTTCCTAGTTAAGTGTCTCTTGTGATTTACCTATTGCCTCCATTTTTCTTTCTATTATGTTACATTGGCTGCTTTCCATGGTGCCTGGTTTAACAGTTTGCTAGAGTTTTCTTTCACTCCTCCCACTTCTGCATTGGTAGAGGGAATTTTGTCACTTGGAAGTTCCCTATACAACTAAATCACAGGTGTCGCTATCCCTATCCCTTCCACCACTATTCCCAGTTTGATGACCTTTGGTTTAGATCTGGAAGTTTCCAAGAAAATGCATTCACCCCAGCTCTCATTAGATACATTCCATCCCTAGCCAAGAGCTCATCATTCTGGTATCTTAAGGCATGGTTCTGAAATCCAACTCCTGTTCTCAGATAATGTCTTCTTAGCCAGCTGCTTCATTCCTAAATATCTCTCTCTCTCTCTCTCTCTCTCTCTCTCTCTCTCTCTCTGTCTCTCTCCCCCCCACCCCCAATGCTCCTAACTTCAACAAAGCAACAGTAATGAAAACATCACTTATATCCTTCAATTTTTCAGCTTCCTGCCCAAGGCTTCTTTATCCCTAGAGATTCTTTCCAGGTTACTTCTAGTACTATTCTGCATCCCCACATGACCCCCTACAAGGGGGTAGCTGATGCATTCTGGGAGGTTCTCAACCATGTCCTAGGTACAGACCCTGGCAAGACAGCACACCTCCTGGCGGATCATTTTAAGGCTGAAATATAGTTTGTGTCCCTCATCACAGAGCCACTACCATCACAATGCCTCCTCTTCTTGTGGGTAGGAACAGATGTTCTCATTCCTGCTAGCACCCAGAGCTTCTTCTCATCACTCTATGGAGCAGAAGAAGCAACTACTTCTTTAACAGATCCAGAATCACCGTCTATGGGATAACCTTTGATATTAGACAGCTGGGGTGCTATACTTTTAGCTCCAGGACCCAGTAAACCTCTTCCCTCAAAACCCTAGGGCTCTATAATAGCAATACCCTGTAATAATTTTTGTTTTGTCCAGAATTCATTGGAGTAGGGAAATCCCAGTGAGGAAATTCTCTCTATAAATGCAAATCGCCAACTGCTCTGCAACTTGTAGCCTTAAACTGGAGGCCAATGAGAGGTTAAGTTGCTTGCCCAGGGTCACCAACCAGGATGAGTCAGAGATGGGACCTGAACCTAGGGTGGTCTTTTTGACTCTAAGCCTAACTCTATAGTCACTACACCACACTTTCTGTAATAATTATAATGGTTATTTATGTAACATTTAAAATTTTACAAAACACCTTATACATATCATCTCACCTGATCCTCACAACAGCCTTGCAGGTTAAGTGCTAGAGATATTATTATTTTTTATTTAGTTTAACACAAAGAAACTTGGCCCTGAGGTCAAGGATCTTATAACCCTGAACACCTGAACAACGTTAGCACAACAGGAAAGGCAGTGAAGTTAAATCATGGCGACAGAAAGCATCAAGCCCAAATAAATACCATTATACAGTAGAGAGTGATAGAGGTAAGAGTCAAGAGAAATCTGGGATCAAATCTTGGCTCTGATGCTTATCAGTTTTGTGAACATTGGGCAAATCACTTAAGCTGTCTCTGAATTTCAATTTCCTCCCGGGTAAAACAGGAGCAATTCTGAAAATGCCTACCTCACAGGATTGTTGGAAGGTTGCCATGTGTCACTTTGTAAACTTTAAAGTCCTATTCAAATATACATGTAATTGATTTTTTGGCTTCTATTGTTGCTACTTTGGTCACAGGACTACTGAGAATACCAAATGTATGTGAAGCATTTGAAAATCTATAGTGTTACGTAAATGTGATTTATTATTATTGTTCTTCAAGATGATAGGAGGAAAAGCACTAAGTTCCATATGGTGTGAGTATACTGGAGTGAGTGAAAATGTATCCCCCCCAAGCTCAATAGCTATACTTGTTTTTTTTCACTGTTCCTGTGGTTTTGCTACACCGGCTTTCCCCGCCGTGCTAACATCTAGACGCTATAACTCTAACGGCCCTGTAAGCTTGAGAAGAATTGGCCCAAGGTACCTAACTACCCATAACACTCAGCACAAGTAAAAATGAGTGCATGTAAATGTGAGGAATTCAGAAAACACAAAGATTTGCATGAGCTGATTCAGAGAAAAGAAAGCAGATGGAATATGCATGATATGATGATATAAATGAAGGTAACATTAAATGAACTATATTGGCTCCAGATGACTGATGATAAAACATTTCTCTATCCTTTGTTAAGAAATGCAAACTTTGAGTGTGGAATATTATATGTTCTGTCATTTACATTGAGATGGCTCAGTGGATAGAAGGTGGAACTTGGGAGTCAGGAAGACCTGAGCTCAAATCCAGTTTCCAATACTGACTTGCTGTATGACCTTGGGGAAGTCATTTAACCTTAATGTAAGGATAAAAACAGCACCTACCTCATAGGCATTGTGATGATTAAACGAGATTAAATGAGTAAAGCACTTTGCAACGTTAAAGTGTCATATAAATGTTGGCTATTATTATTAATAACAATTACTGTATTAAATGAGTTTGTCATAGCGATGATGGTGGTGGTGGTGGTGATGATGATGATGATGATGGTGGTGGTGGTGATAACTGTCTAGTAAAGTTGGGTTTGTACAACTTAAGGCATTTCTAAAGGTGGCCTAAACCCAGTTCGGAGGCAGTTAGTGGCACACTGGGCCTGGAGTCAGGAAGACCTGAGTTCTAATCTAACCTCACACATTTACTAACTTTGTGATACTTGGCAAAACACTTAACTTGTTTGCCTCAGTTTCCTCAGCTGTGAAATGGGAATGATAACAGCACCTACTTTCCAGGATTGTTGTGAGGATCAAATGAGATAATATTTCTGAAGTGCTTAGCACAGTGTATAGAACACAGCAGGTGTTTAATAAATGTTTATTCCCTTCCCTTCCTTTAAACCCAAAAGGAGGTAATGCTGGGCTCCTCTAACCATGGTTCCTGTAATCCTGTCCCACTATAATCCCACACCCATCAATACTGGCACCAGTAACCCAAGGCCCGTTGACGTTGGCCCCTAGGAGCCATGCTAAAGCCTTCCTGAATACCGTTGTAGCTGGTGCTACTGTTGCTGTTCAGGTAGGACTCCACCAGTGGGGCCTGCTCCTCAGATTGCCGCGCACGGCGTGTTCTCGTGCGGCTGTCTGGGTTGGACTGTACCATCAGAGGCTCCTGGCGCTTCTTCTTTTGTTTCTGCTCCAGCAAAGCCCTCTAAAGACACAAAGCAAGGACAGGAGATGTTGAGGGGATATTCATCAAGGCTTCCCAGAGCTCCCTCCATCCTTGCCTTGTCTAAGGACCTGAGACCACTGGAATTCAGAGGCTCTATCTCCAACTCAGACTCGGAATTCAATGACCATATCTCTCCCTCAGATAAGAGTGTCTTTGAGGTCTAGGCTGTTTCCCTCTCATAAAAGGGTTTCCCAAGGGCTGAATTAGGTCTTCCCCACAGCCTTACAGCTCCCTCAAAACCAGGCTGTGACTGTACCTCTTACCTGGGGTTCCCTGAGGATTAGGATGTGCTCCCTCCACCTTAGGTGGGGGGGGTCTTCAAGTTCCAGCTCTGACCCATACTGGCCGAGAGACTCTAATCAAGTCACTTAACCCCTCCATGCTCTGGGCAGCTCTTTACGAGTCTCTAGGTTGAAAAGAAGGTGCTGACCTCCTCCAGAAGGATGAAATTACAATGAAATTACAGGTTTGGTCCAAAAGAAAAAAGATAAGAGCTCAGATTTCTCTTTTGATTTAAGCTTTCTTCACAACAATCCCATGAAGGAGGCAGCACAAATATTATCACTCCCATCTTGCTAAGGAGTAAGTTAAGTGATTCACTGAAGGTCACCCAGCTAGAAAAGGGCAGAAAGGCGGCTGGAAGCTCAGTTTTCAAACTCCACATCTCACGTGCTTTTCACTACCCCGTTTTTGGTTTTTCAACATCAACCCATGTTCTGGGTTAGCTCAAGGAAGGCACAAGAGTGTATGCTGGGGTGGGAGCAGAACTGTGACAGATAAAGGGACAAATAAAGGAGAGCAGCACCAGGCCCTGGGCTGGGTTTTGGCATGCCTCACTCCAATCCCCAACACTCCACCTAGACCCATTTTCTGCCCCTGAGGCACACTGGTACTGTATGTGGAGCCAGAGGGCCTGGGCTCAAAACCTAGCTCTGCTACTGGCTACCTGCAGGATGTTGAGCAAGTGATCTCCCCTCTGTGGGCCTCAGTTTCCTCCTCCGTAAAATAAAGGGGATGGACCAGAACCATCTTTGAGGTCCCTTCCAACTCTTGCTCTGTGACCCCATGAACCTCCTGCTTTTGCTACTCACATCCTGGTCTGATGGAGACACGCCCCCAAACCATAGGAGTTCCAAACCGCAAGGTTCTGCCCCTCTGGGACTGCAGAAATCCATGCTGCTCATCTAAGTGGGCAGTGGACCGCCTTCCCAACTCCCCCACTCCTCCCACTCACCTGCCTCTCGAGTTTCTGCTGCCGTAGGGTGCTGCCTTCATCGTCCAAAACACTGCAAAGAAAGAGGCAGGGGGTCAAGTCAGGCCTGGAAGGCCAAAGAGGGCCAATGCTCAGGATCTAAGGCAGAACTCAGCTTCTCCAAATGGCCAACTTGGGGAGGACCATCCCACAGCCGGGCCTCCCAAGGGACCAGAGCTTTAAGGTCATAGGACCCCAAAAGCACCTAACAAACTCCCCAGGGAACATTCCTGGAGAGGTTAAATAGGGCTAGGGGCTCAGTCCCTGGGAAGAACCTACACAGTACTTTCATCAAGGAGGAAGATGCACGTGTAGTGTATTGTAGGGCTGGTGGGAAGGGGTGTCAACTGAGGCACCGAATGGGCATCCAAAAGACTGACACGCTAGAAGGATATACCATACCTAACAAGTACAAAAGTAAAATCCTATTCGTAGGTCCAAAAAACAAAACACACAAGAACAAGGTCATGTGAAAAAAGACAACATTGTCACATGACAACCAAAAAATGGCATCTTCAGCTGCCTTAATATGGGCAAGCATCCAGAAGGAGTGAAGTGATAGTTCCACTGTCCTCTGCCCTAAGCACACAACATTTGAAGTACTGCATTTAGTTGTGAGCACCACATTTTTAGGAAGGACATGGACAAACAGGAGTATGTCCTGAGAAAGGTGATCAAGATGGTAAGAGGACTGGAAATAATGCGGGGGACTGACTGGCTGAAGGTGTCTAGCCCGGAGAACGATGGGGGCACACGAAGGCTGTCTTCAAGGAAGGCTGAACGCGGAAGGATCGGACTGGATTGGCTTGTTCCCATGGGATGTGGCAAGAACCAACATGTAGAAAGCATCAATTTCAACTTCCTAACAATATGAGCTGTCAATTTGGGCTGCTTCAGGAGGTGGAAATGAGCTCTCCATCACTGGCAACATTCTCTCTAGATGCCTAAATGGCCACCGGTAGAGGGGATTCATGTTTCAGGTCAGCTGACCTCTGAGGCCCCTGGGATTCTATGACACACAGACTGGGCATAGGGGTCATTCCCTAGGCCCTTCCCTGGCTCAGGACACCCAAGAAGCATTGATCCTCATTGGTACATTATGGAAAGGGTCAAGGCTGAGTTTCTAAGGCCGGCTCCCTGCCTGATGAATGTTTCCCCTTTACAATATCCCTGAGAGGCGCTTACCCCACTCCTGCTCAAACAATTCTAGACCCAGAGAACTGGCTATTTCACAAAGCCGCTCATTCTATTTTCAGGCAGCTCTGATTGTGAAGTTCCCCCAAATGTCAAGCGGAAATCTGTTTCCTTGCCGCTTCTGGCCATCACTCCCAAGATGAACAAAGCTAATCCTTATCATATGCATCAGTCTTCCAAATACTTGAAAATAGTTATCATACCTACTGCACTCCCAGCCCTAAGTCTTCTCCTTTCTGAGGGCAAACATCTGCAGTTGCTTCAACCAATTGCCATGTGGCACCATCCTGGTCACAATCCCCTGGGTGTATTCCAGTTTATCAAGATCCCTCCTAAAATATGGTGCCCAGAACTGAACATACTCCTCCAGACGCGGTCAGATCAAGGCAGAGGACAATAGAACTGGCACCTCCCATGCCCCTACTCATGTAGTTCTGGGGCACAGCGGTTTTGTTGCTTTGTTTTAAGGCTTTTTGTTGCTATGTCATACATAAGATTCATGTTAACCTTGCCATCTGATAAAACACCAAGTTTAAAAAAAAAAAAACAACACTTCTCCAGCCATGCCCCTACATCCTATCATCAGTTTTTTACTCTAAGCCAGGGGCTTTACATTCATCCCTATTAAATGTCATGTTATTAGATCCATTCCACCGCTCTAGCCTACTGAGATATATTCGGAGGCAGATTCCTGTGTGTATTGGTTATTCCCTCATTTCATGTAAGGCTGAAAAGTGTAGGGTAAGCATGCAGTCTATGCCTTCATCTAACCAAGTCAAGGATGCTTAACCTTTCGTGTGCCATGGACTTGGGCAGTATGGGGAAGCCTATGGACCCCTTTTCAGAATAACAGATTGTTCCCTACATTCATAATTGAAGGAAATGCAAAATTTCAATTAGAGGTCAGTGACAAAAATGGGAATTTTTTTTCCTCATCCAAATTCACAAACCCCCTGAAATCTATCCATGGACCTCTGAGAGATTTGTGGACCTCAGACTAAGAATCTCTGAAGTAAGTCATAATACAAATGTTGAACAGAATAGGACCCAGGACAGAGGCTTATAGTACTTCCCTAGAGACAACTCCAAGTTGAAATATATTCATTAAAATCACCACTCTGGCATTTAACCAATTCCAAAACTAAATGTACTTTCCTAGAGTTCATATCTTTATACCTTGGCCACACGAATATCATGAGCAATTTTTGTCAAACAGGCTGGAGTCAGATTATGGAGAGCCATGAATGCCAAGATAAGAACCTTAGACCATATTCAGCAGGCAATAAATAGCCATATAAAGATTATGAATGGAGGAGTGACATGATTACAGCTGTGTCTAAGAAAGATAATCTGGCTAGGAAGCATCAATTGGAGGTCAAAATTGGAACCAGGTAAGTCAGATAAGAAGCAAATGCAATTGTTAAAGGAGAAAGTAATGAAAGTAATGAAAGTAATTCTTGGTCAACCCATGCTGGTTCTCACTGATTACCAATTCCCCTTCTGAAGTGCTCAGAAATCATTCATTTAGTAATCAGTTCTAGAATTTTCCCTGAGGCCAATGTCAAGCTCATTGGTCTTTAGAGGTTGCAGAATCCATCTTCTCCTCCTTTTCGAAAATCAGCAAAACTTTGCCCAAGTCCAGTTCTGTGGAAACCACTGTTTTCCCACACTTCCTTCAAAATCATGGATAGAGGCTCAATAATCACATCTGCAGTTTCTTTCAGTTCCCTGGGAGATCATTCATGTACCCTGGAGACTTTGACTCAATACAATTGGCCCTGGATCTTGATTTTCATTTGCCCATTTTTTCCAACTCTCTTCCCAGTAGGAATATCAGTTTTCTTGTTAGTAAAAATGGAAGTAAAATTAAAGCTGGTAAGATCTGTTTTCTCTTGGTTGTCCTTGAATGTTGTCCCACATCCCCTAAAAAGAGGCCCTTTCCTTTCTATTACATTCTTCTGACCTTCAATAGAGTCCCTTACAGTTGCCCAAAACTCAGATCACCCTGCCTTTAAGACTTTCTGACATGTCCTACTCCCCCTAGTCTTCTTCCTTGGTAATCTACTCCCTCCCAGCCCCGTTTCTTTTTTCTGCTTCTTTTCTTGTCTTGTCTTCAAATATCAGAGAGCTCCTTATGCAACCACATCAATCTTTTTCAAACTCTTCCTTTTTTTTCAATCTTAACTGAATTGTTAGTTCACTAGAATTAATTATTGTTAATTAATTATTGGAAGCCTCTTATCCTTCTTTAATATTCTTTCCTTTTAGAGTCTCAGGCCATGTTTATCTTTGAATTTTTAGAAAATCACTCACTTATAGTCCAGGGTAGGAATATTACAATTTGCTCTTTGACCATCAGGATGCTCCAGGTCAGGAGGTGACCAGAAGGAGGTTCACAAGAGACTTTTGTCAAATAGATAGGATGGAGGTTCACTGACAGTGTCGTTTTTAATAAATAAATGTCAGCTTAAAATTGTCTTTAGGAGAGTACTGCAAGGCTCTGTCCTGAGACCTGTTCTATTGAACATTTTCATTATAACTAAGTAATAATAACACTTTAAGATGATGTGGTCAATTTCTCATTGTTTTCATTTCACAAACCAGTTACTTTATGAACTTTGAGAATGAGCCAGGACAAATGAGGCCCCCAGCAAATATATTTCCCCCTCTACCTCCAGGAAAAAAGAAAAAGAGGGGCACCCAACCTATGGCAGAGCTCAGGACCCAATCTAAAAGAGTAGTGGACTTTCCTGGTAGATCTTCCCTTACTGCAACCCAGCCCAGCATCTGAAACCAGATAAAGGAACCACAGACTAGGGAAATATATAAACACCTGCACAGAATTAAGTAGCTCGTACCCCAGCTCAAAGGCACACGGCCTCTGCTCAGGTCCAAGACAACATCTGGATGCTACTAAACCAAAAAGACAGCAGTTCTCTGCCAATTTATAAAGCCCCACAGCAATGAGCACCTTCCCATGCTTCTGTTCAATGGCCACACTCCCCAGGGTAAGCAACAATTCATTCCAGGAGGCAAGAGCAGGTTTGGCTGGGAAACATCACTTCTTCATTCTCAGCTGGCTGGGAACTGAATGTCCTGAGCAGAATCGTGGGCTTAAAGCTAGAAGGGACCTTAGAAGTCATTTACTTCAACCTCTTCATTCTACAGATGAGAAAACTGAGGGTCACAGGGATTAAGTGGCCACACAGGTAGGACACAGAAGAGCTGCTATTTGAACTCAGGTCTCTGGGCTCCCCACTCTTTTCCACTGTGTCACTCTGCTAACCCTAACCCTAACCCCAACCCTAATGACCTCTAGGCTCTATGTGGCTGATGGAAAGGGATCGGTCCAGAGACCTGGGCTCTATCCCAAGGGCCCCCACTAATTCACTACATGACTTCAGCGGAGGCAAATCACTCCCCTTCTCTGGGCTTCCTCCTCTCTAAAATGGAAAGGGGTAGACCAAATGCCTTCCAAGGTCCCTCACGGTTGTAACAAATTCTTTGAAGACTCATCCTCTAAGTTACAGTCAGTCAGACTTTGGCTCAAGCTAGGGATAAAGCATGTCAGAGCCAGGGCAGATGAGTGAGCCTGGAATGGTTACCAAGTGACAACCTGGAACCTCCTTCTCTGGACGACTTTAAACCCAGGAGAGAATATCACCCTCCTGGCTTGACATGACAACAGAAGCGGGGGGATGGACCAGATGACCTCGAGAACAGGCAGACTGTTGAACTAAATTCCCCAAAGAAGTAGCCCCTTTCCTCCCAGGATAGGTTAGCATATGACTCAAACCGGCCTCCCAGTCAAAGAAACACGGCACCCCCACTACTTCCCTG